AAGGAACTGATAATAAAGAAAAATTATACTTTTACGAACTCACGAAATTAGGAAGAAATCCATAAAACCCCATTAAAAGTGGCAAAAACTTGAAAGAAAATTTTTTCCTAAGAAGACAAGAAGAATTGGCCAAAACAAAATTGAAGAATGCTCACAATCTCTAATCCTCCAGGGAAAAAGAAAACAACAACACAATGAAGATTTATCACTTTTAAACCCCAGTGGGAATGGCCTTTATTCAAATCCTCCAAACAAATAAAATGCCTGGGGCGTGGTTTTGTGCGGAGAGAGAGGAAAACAACTCCTTACACTGCTTGGTGGGACTGGCAAAACTATTTTTTCAACCTCCTTGTGGAAAAGCAATATGGGAGATACCTTTAAAGCGATTTTACAAGTGAATCTTACCATTTTTGATCAGCAATCCCCATTTGGCTTGGGCAACTTACCCAATGATCCAGTTGACACTCTACAAAAAACACCTTGCAACTCGAATGTTTATCAGCCACAATTTTCATAAATGCAGCCTTTGGGGGAAACAGCCCCAGTGGCCCATCCAATCCAAGATGGATTAATAAAAATGGGTATATGGTATACCATGGAGTTACTATCTCAACTCTAAAAAACAATGGGTGATAATACAAACGCTTATTAATTTTCCTGGTTTAGAGCCTGGAACCCATACTGACTAATTTTTGGAAATATCCAAGAATGGAAAAACAAAGCACCAGATATTAATTTCCACGAAAACTGGTAATTAAGACTAGCACTAAGTGGGAACATAGGTATTTACAGTAAAAATAGGTAATGGCAGGAGGGAGGGGGGGACCGGGGGGAGGGGGTTTGGGTATATACCATACATAATGAATGGAAAATGTTGCACATCCTTGGGGATGTCCCATAATGAAGACTCAGACTTTTGGGGGGAGGGGGGAAATGGGCATTTATTGAAACCTTAAAATCTGTACCCCCATAATATGCCAAAATAAAAAAAATAAATAAATAAAAAAAAATAAAAATAAATAAAATAAAATGTGCCTTTAAAGGACCCCCTTATAAGAACCCTTTCTATAAGAAGAAAAGGATTTGCAATATATGAAACAGAAGGCAATGGAGCAATTATTCAAACACCTACTCAGACCTTCCTTACTGCTCCAATGAATAGGAACCGTGTCATACTAATTCCTAAAGGGCTGAGAAAGGGAGAAGGCAGAGGAGAAGGGGAGGTGGGGAGAGGGGAGTCCATGTCACTTCTGCAAACAAGGAAGATAACTTGGCAGAAGCAAAGAGGTAGGCAAAGGAAGAAAAGCAAGACAAAGCCTGTTCTGTTGCCTCATGCTTGAGGAAATAAGCCATACCCACCCCCGCCCCTCCCAAGAGCTGCCTCCACAAGGGTGGCGGTGTGAGAAGTGCCTCTTTCACTGCCAGATCTGCCATTCCGATTATCCACACTCGTGACTTTCTTTATGATGTGGACATCTGTAACCTCTGTTTTGCTTTCTCCCTTCATGGTTTCTTCTTACACAGGATGTCTTACTATATCTTCATACATAAGATGTCTTACTACATCTCTCAAGATTCCATTTTTTCTTCTCCATTGGACGGCAAACTCTTTGAGGTGCCTTCCAGAGTCTCCCAAAGTGAATTTTGTAAATGCTACACAGCTTATAGTTAAATTCAGAATTCAGAACATCCCAAACATGTTCCCCATGTCTGGAGAAAAAAATTGCTTAGTGTTTTTGTGTAAGAGGGGAAAACAGGTACAAAGATAGAAATATTATTTGTACATACACAGTTCTCCTATGTAGAGTTCCTAAAATATTTATGATGCCATCTAATCTCTGGCTCTAACTTTATCTCACGACACCCTATCCCACTGCCCTGTGTACTCCAGCCCCACGGACCGTCTATGAATTCTTCAAATGGACCATGCTTCTCTATCTCTGTTCTTTTCCATGCCTCACTCACAGCCCATTTTGCCAGTTAATTCCTACTCTTCCTCCAGTTTTCAGCTCCATTGTCCATTCCTCAGGAAAACCTTTCCCAATCTCTCTGGCAAGGTCAAATTCCTCTAAAATAGCTCTACATACCTTCCTTCCTTAGCACCTAACTCAAATATAATTTAATTACATAATTAGAAAAATATTTGCACTTAACCCAATCATTAATACAATTTTACACGTATTGTAGGACTATCTGAATGTCCCCTTTTCCCATCAGTAGACTGTAAGTCCCATAGGGGCAGCAACTTTGTCTATTTTTGTTCATCAGTATATCCCTAATAATCGCTCAGTTCATGACACATACATTCTACAGACATTTAATAAATGAATGAGTGAATAATAAGATCTGTGTGGAGATAAGATTTTATATCCACATTTGAGAAATGTGGAAACTGAGTCACAAACAGTTTAAGGAGTTTGTTTAAGGAGCACAAACATACACATTGGACTCAAAGGTATTTGATTGCTGACTTCAAAGCTAGGGAACGCAGCATTCCAAGGGCTGGGAAGTATTGCGTGGTAATAGTAGGTGCCTAGTGCAGACTTGTTGAATGAAGAAAGGAAAACAAAAATGAAAGTAGGAAGGAATAAGTTATGAACTCCAGGATGGTTTCCATTGTGAAAATGATAGTCTTTGCTGTGGCACGGGGCAGATCACATCACCTTTCTAGGCCCCTGTTCCTCAGCTCAAGGTTGAACTAGACGATCTCCATGCTCTGCAATTCTGAGTTTCTCTGCTTCCGAACTCCTCATACCTTGGGATTCTGTCTAACAGCAGGCACCTACATATGGTGGCTGAGTTACTGAGCAGCCCAGATTTGACTTTATGTTTTAGATCATTTTTAATGTATTCAAAGAGCAATTACACTATGCAACAAGAGGCAATTGCAGGAGCAATAACATCAAAGATAACATATGGCAGCTATGGAAACAATGGAAAGTTATTACAGAGTGTTAAGCACAGCAGATGGAAAAGCTTTGCTATAACCTTGACAGTTCACCCTGGAACCTCCAGATATGCAATATAATTATATGTAAAGAAGCAAAGAACATCTGGTCAGAAAAACCATATTTTTGAGTTTTCTGTTCCCATTGTTAAATGACTCAGAAACTAATAAAAGGGAATCATGAATGGCCTCAGTCATTGAGTCAAAAGTGAAATAAAAACTATAAACAAAAGCCACCTTCTCCTCCCAACAAATTTGGGATTCTCAGTCTAACCAGTCAAGAGATGTAAGCTCTTAACCTGGCTAATCAAATTCCCCACTCGCGTGCTCCACAATCTAGAGCTGGCTTACCTCTCCGGGTCACCTCTCGCCGACTCCCTGACCTGGCCCACACTCTGACCTCACAACTCACTGTTTTTCATGACTCCTTCAAGGTCCAGCTCAAATGGAATTTTCTCTTGGAAGCTTTCCACAATGCTCTCAAATAGAACCCAGGGCTACCTCCTCTAAACTCCCACAGCACTTACTCACTCCCACCTGATAGCACTGTTGGTCATCTCATTTATGTCATGGTTGCCTATCTGTCTCTGTCTCCTATCCCAACTGCCCCACTAGCCTATGAGACTCGTGAAGATACAGACCATGCCTTATTCAGCATAACGTAATCCAAGCACACAGTTGCATGCCTGACATTTAGAAAGCATGTTGAGTTAAATGCTAGGCGGCAACTAATCAATAGATGAATTTATTGGAATAGAAGAATAAGTCCTACTATATTGGCCCATATAGCAAATTTTAACAGGGAGTTTTCAGTGACCCTGCTTCAAACCCGAAAGAGTAACTCCAATGCTAAGAATTTCAAGCACTCTGGCATGTCAATAATGAAATTATTTAGAAAAGGTAGAATCTTATTCTATTCCTTACCTTTTAGCTAAAATGAATAAACTCTTTTTCTATGTCAGGCACAGACCTAGAGCTCTGCATGCATTATCTCATTTAATCCTCAAACAACCCTATGAGGGGTTATTATTTCCATTTTCAAATAGCATAGTTGAGGTCTAAGTAGATGAGTTACTTTCCTCAGGCCACAGGGTTAGTAAGCGGCAAGCAGGGCTGAGATTTGAACCCAAGTCAACCACACTCCAGAACCGGAACTACTTATCACCATGTTGTTTTCCATCTAGTTTCAGGACCACACCTGGTATGTGAACTGTGAATCATGGTGTCTAATGATTTTCTTCACCATTTTGTTACTTTCAATTTACTGTTAATTTTATCCACATAGAATCTTTCACTTTGATATTTCATAATTCTACTTGGCAGACACTTCATCACTTTTATCACACTTATTATCAACATTTTAAAGGCTCAGTTTATCCCACAGTATGCTCAAAAATGTTTAGGGATAGGAAAACAGAGAGACGGAGTAGTCATATCACCTCTCCAAATTCATATAGCTAATAAGGGCGAGAGCTCAGCATGAACTCAAGCTATTTGACTCTAGCACCCAAGTGCTATCACACACTCCCTTAGGGCATCTCTGTATCAGCCCTAAGTCCACAGGTCAAGGTGTCTGGCATTATGTTACCCACCCAGTCAATTCCTGAGTCAGTCCAATTACAGTGACCAAAATCACATACCAATGCACATGCCTCCTTTTCAAGTAAAACAAAATCTATGTTTTCCTATACCTGTCATTGCCAGGTATAGGAAAATCTATATGCTAAAATCTGTGCTAAGCTGTAATTTTACCTCATCCTCTTCCTCTGGGTGGTCGCAGTCCACTTTTATCCCTAATTGGCATTGCCCTGCATTGGACCTAATCCTCTTAGGAAAACACAAGTAAATAATCTCAAAACCATAATTACTTACCTGGTTGGTCAGATTGTCTTCTCATTTTACCAGGAGATAACTGTCCACCAACATAGAAGTGCTACATATGAGAGCTTGCTAAAGTAATAAGTGCTAACGTTTACTGAGGTTTTTTTTTTTTTTTTTACATTTTAAAATTATTTATTTAATCTTAATTTATACTTTATTTTTTTTCTTTCAGTTATACTTAAGTTTGTGAGATCTGAAACTGAGTTTTTATATGATATGCCGGATCCTTTGCTGAGCTCTGCACTTAGGTCATCCCTCTATAACCTGATTTACAGGTAAAGAACTAAGCCCCGAAAGGCTGAGGGTCCTGCCCAATGCCCCATGGCTGCATCCCAGTTGTATTCGACTCCAGAGTCTAGACTCTAAGCTACACAACTTATTATCAGCATCTGTTGTTACTTCTCTAGGCTCTTTCCCCCCCTTTATTTAAGAAAAGCTACCCAGACAAAAATTTTTTTTTTTTGCAAATAAAGGAAATAGAGTACCTGAGAAGGCCCAAGTCGTCTCCATTCAAATCTACCATTTTCAAGACTACCATTTCCTTGTCTGTATTTGAAGAATACCTAGTCAGCAAAACAAAGAAACTTAGTTCCATGTTAGAGTTTGACCCTCAAGTATGACAAACAGCAGAAGCTGACACAAAAACAAAAATATCTCTGGGTTGGTGAGGCGCCCTGACAAGCAGTAATCCTAGGAACTGTACCCAGAATCTCATTCCTAAACTGAGGAGATGATTTAAAGTTGTGATCAAAGTTTGGGACACTAAGTCAACTAACTGGAGCTAAAATATATATTTTTATGTAAGATATATGTAACATTATATAACACATATGTATTTCTTATAAAAAGGATTTGTCTTTGAAATTTCTACTCATATCAAATTTTAATGGAATTTCTTAAAAAGAGCAGGGACTATGTAAAATCAAAAATATTCAAGATCCACCACCTAAGTGTTCGTTTATGTCTTTTGAAAGTAAAACATATTTTCTAAAAACCAACTCTCTTGAAAGCTATTGAAAAATATGCAGACAAATGTAAAATATCAAGTGGCCAAGTTAAAACTGAGATATTATTTTATACCATCATAGTAACCAAGTACTTTTGTCACAAACCTAGTTAGTGACTTTAAAAAAGATTTTATAAAAAGAAGATAAAATAATTATCTCCCTCGTTGTTCCATTCAATTATGTGGGTTTTATTTCTTACTCTTCCATCTGTTATTTATTCTTTTATTTTTTTCTGTCTTGCCATACTATCCTGGACTAAGATGATTTCTTCTGGTTAACACATAATAAAAGAGTTATTGATTAAATTTTTTAAAAAAATGTGTTATGCACATTTTTATCTCCATTTTACCAATGAAAAGGCTGAGAGCCAATAAATTAAGATAAGTAAATCACTAAAGGTCACATAACTAGGAAGTGATAAAGTAAAGATGAGAGCACAGTTATGCCTGATATCAAAGCCCAGGGTCCTTCAGATATCTATATTGGCTCCCATGCCCAACAAAGTGGAAAGATATGGTGTTCTTTTCTACATTCACTTTTTGTTTCTACTTGTCTTAGGTTATAAGCATGTTTTTAAAATATTTTAGCTTTAATACTCTCCTAGGATCCCACCACATTCGTCAAGTAACAACACTGTTCTCAGATTTTTGCTGCTGTTCTCTAAAGGAAACGCAATGATTCCTTCTCACCTCGCTCTCTCCGATTGAGGATTCTGAAGGTAAGAATAAGGGCTTCGGTTGATCTGCACACCATCCACATTTCCTTTATTGATAAAGATTTTGCCTGGTTTCATATTTGTGTGTGCTATCTCAATGCTCTGAAGGTTAAAAAATAAATAAATAAATAAAGGAGTCACAAGCTTAGAAATCCTGGTGGGGAAAATGACTCAGTCAATATAAACAGAAGAGGCCTGTGGACAACTTCCTTTCTCTCTAACATGCGGGCACAATGGGACAAAAGCTGGAGAACCACATGGCTGGTGCCATTCAGGAGGTAAACAGAAATGGCTCTCAAGGTTGAAATAGAGGAAATGCTGTGTCATACACCTGCACCGACCTGATGCCTCAGCTCACAACGAGCCCCACCTCCTTGTCTCTCACCACTGGGAAGACAGGCAGAAGTTGCCATTTCAGATGACCAAAATGGGAGACTGGACTTCTACCACCACACTAAGAACATGATTGATTAACATGTGAGTCTTCCCACCTCCCTTCCCTCTCTATCCCACCACCCTCTAAGGCAGAGTTTTTCAAACCTTTCTTACTAAGAGCCATAGTGAGAGATAGAGTTTTCGTCATAATGTAACACACATCAACACATGCATTCTAAAACAAAAGTTCACAGGCAAACTATACCCCTTACTATGTGTTGTGTACTTTGATAGTTTACAATTGATTTTATTGGAGGTGTTTTTTTATTTAGTGCTTCTTATGGCCCATGCAATTGATATCATAAGCCATTAATAATGCATTGCAAGCCACAGTCTGGTGCCATTCAGGGGGTAAACAGAAAAACTCTCAAAAAAATCTCTTGTAAAGAAATTTGCCTTTGCCAGCTGGATCCTTGAATTTTGGGGGTGACTTTGTGAGAAAAAATAGAGAAAGAATAAACCTGGAAGGCAACAAAACGAAGAAAAATATTAGCAAGAATCCTATGCAAGAAAATAGTAATTTGGAAGACAGAGGGAGGGGATTGCAAGCTACCCACACCCGGAATGAGAGAGAAGTTTGAAAGTATTTGCTAGGAGCACCATGGAGGTCTGGGGCTGCTATAGAGGACTTGAGAAATGAGAATGTATGTTTATGAAGTAGATCCTCCTTGCTCTTCAGGAAATACAAAAACAAAATTAGAATTATTTGTAATTACATTTGATCCCTTGATGGGTTCCTTTTTGTGTGACTTTGTGGAGAGAACAGACCATGCAGGGCCCTGTAGTTTATGAGGAACCCCAAAGCAAAATGTTTTCTGTCTCTTTAGATGATTCTGTGGGGCTTACTGCCATAGAACCCTCCTCTTCCAATCAGTCAGTGCCTCAGGCCTCACAGCCCATAGTCAGGACCAGAAGCTCGGAGAGAGTCAGGGAGGAGAAAGAAAGGAAAGTGCTAAGACTGTGCTCAGGCCCAAATCCTATAGAGACCCTCCATAGCACCCAAACCACTCCCCAAATCCCTGTAAGCCGTGGGAACAAACAGCTGCCTCTGGGGCTTTTTGCCTACCTTCATGATACCACTGACCATGTACTCAAAAGTTCGATTGCTAAATCCTTCACTGGCAATGACAAAGAGAGTATACTGGAAATATCCCGCTGGACCCGAGTGTGTGTGAGTGCCACTCAGGACAACGTTGTCTCTTCTGTACAGGGAGCCATATTTGCTCTGTAGTCTGTTCAGGACCTTCAGAAAAAAAATTGAACTGAGATAAGGGATAACATAGGAGCTCAGCATGAGAACAGGCTATGATGACTTCAATCACTGATCCATACCAATGACATCCCTTTCCAATGGCCCTTCACTCTATGTTGGAGTATATCATCATAGTAACAACAACAAAATGATGATAACGATAGCTAACATTTTATAGATTCTTGCTATGTGCAAGCACAACACCAGGCATATTATATACATTATGTGATTTAAAAATCTTTGTACAACATCAAGAGATAGGTATTGTTAATCTAATTTTTCAGCTGAGAATATTGAAGTGTACAGAAGTTAAATAATTTGCCCATTAATGCAATAAGTAGCAGAACCAGACTTCAGACCCAAGTCTCTCAAACCATAAAACCAGTACCCTTCCTTGTTCATCATTCACCCATTGTATTAATATTCAGACACATGCTAAGCACAAGCAGTATATGAAGTTCTTACCCTGATGATGTCTGTATTCTACTGAAGGAGAAAGATAACAAACAAACAAATACATAATATTAAATCATATAGCAGTAAATACTATGAAGAAAAACATTGCTGGGTAAGGAAAAAGAGATCGATGGGTATTAGTGAGTCAAGAATTTTTTGAAGAGGGTCTCTCTTTCAGCAGAGGCTTACATGAAGAAAGCAAGCATGCAATATCTGAGGGAAAAAGTTGTGCAATATCTGAGGGAAAAGCATCCCGAGCGCAGTGAATAGACAATGCAAAGACCTCTTAGCTACTCTGTTGGTCACTTCCTAAGTCAAAGAATTCAACATTCCCTGAAACAGACTTTTACACTTATTGGTCTAAGGAAAGCCATCCACTATGATGGAAGAACATCCCAGCAATGTGGATGAGAACCATCTTTTCAGCACTGACTTGCTAGCCAAGTGGGTGAGCAACCTAAGCAGTAGATTCTCCAGCCTCAGTCAAGCCTTCAAACAACTGCATCCCTAGCCAACATCTGAGTGCCATGTCATGACACAGAAATGATGAAGTTTGGCTCCTGTTCTAAAACAAGTCAGAATTGCAGAACCCAGCCACTCTGGGATTCCTGACCCACAGAAAACATGAGCAGCAATACATGATTATTGTTACTTTAAGCCACTAAGTCTTTGGATGATTTGTTCTACAGCAGTAAATGTTCATTGAATTAGTCAATCAATGAATATCCAAATTCATGGCTAGTGCCTTTGTATAGTGCACGCACATCAAGAAAATAACAGAAAGAAAATTAATGATGTTGCTGAGGACCTGTTTTGGATTATGCTTTAATTAGATGCAACCTGAGGTTTGGTATTACTGTGGCTTGTTTGTGAAAGATCATTAAAATCATCCAGCAAAAGTGCCAAATCCAATGTAATCATTAGCAATGTTCACCTTGAGTATGGCATAAACAGTCTGATAAACTTTCTCTCTGAAGAAAAAAAAAAAAAAAAGCCCTCATTTGTATTGTTTGCCAATATCTGTGGTGTAAATACTTCCCCCATGTTCAAATTCAAGCTACCAAAAGCTTAAACAGCCAGTTCACAACATTCCTGAATATTTAACAATTGGCTCTCATGAGTTGGCACAAGCCAGTTCCAGCACATCACTGGGACATAGGGGAATGGCAGCTTATGTGCTATGTACTGAACGTACATAGAGACGACCATTCAACCTCTTCTATTTTAAGTGAAGAGCTACACCACCTTACTCCCATCATGTGGTCACCGAAGCAGGAAGAAGGTTTTGCAAACCATCTTGCCTTATTACCCTCTCCATGCCCCAAAGACTGACTGTTAGGTTACTATGTCCACATAAACAATCCTGTGACAGAAGGAGAATATGGAAAGAGAATTTGATGTAACCAGACTCACATCCTTCTGTGTCTGTTTGATCCTAACTCCAGCCCCCAAAGCCTCACCACCTTCACATCTTCTTCCACACAATAGCTACCACACTAGTGAAGGAGAAATGTCTACAAAGAGAAGGGGAAATGATCATCAAGGGGACACCATGAAAGCTGAACTAAAGTCTAAAGCTGATATTCTTACAATTCTGCAACTAAGATAGGAAGGTAGTGGAGAAAAAGGACTACAAATCAACTTTAAAGCTCCCCTAACCACCGCCCCCCATTTTATTCCTAAAGAACTATAACATGAGGATTTTAGAATTGAATGCATTTCTTCGTGTCTATTCAACAATCAAGTTCTTAAAAAGACAGTAATTATGAGTCTTGAATGTTTTAAACAATAAAAAGATTATAAACAGCACACATAAATTTTATTTTAAATCACAATCTCTAATAGGAAACCAGACACATGAGACTTCTAGGAAAAAGGAAAGAAAAAGAAATTAAAACCCCAATCATATAATAATGCCTGCAAATAGGCATTATAAATAGCATGTTTACCACTTCATGGAAGGAGGGGTATTTTAAGACAAAACAAAGGAGTACATTAATGTGTATAGCTCACTTCTTTGTCTTCTGTTTCCATTCCATTTCCTGTGGCTGACACTCTTGGGAGCATGACACAGAAAGAGTTAGAAAGTCATTCTGTTTTCCTGCCCTGCCTCACTGCACAGAGATCTTCCCTAATCTTCATTAGATGCTGGAATTTCATCATTCTTAAAGCTGAGTCTGAGAACCTACATAAAACCAGGTGTTATAAATAAGCTTAATGGCACTTATTTAGCTGCATTTATTTTTCCCTCCTTCCCTTGGGTGAACTTGGGATAACTAGGTGGGTGAATTCAAAGTCTTTCCCACTGGGCCTCAGATTGCATGGGGAAGTGAAACTGGGAAGAGACAGTTGAATGGTGCCCACTACGGCCTTGATAGCATCTACAAACCAACACATTAAACTCCTCTCCTATTTCCACACCACCCCCAAAGTTTACCTTTTGACTCTTCTATTTCTGCTAACCACCCTTCAGTGGTAGGGTCCTAAGCAGAACCATCTCTGATCCCTCAGAAAAGCAGTATAGTGCAGTAATAATGAACATGGACTCTGGCACTAAGGTACTTAAGTTTGAATCCCAGCTCTGATTGTTCCTAGTTGAACAACCTTGGATAAGTGACTTGGTCCTCTGAAACTTGGTTTCCTAAACTCTCAAATGACATGATAATAGTACTTTCCTCATAGGGTTGCTTGGAGGATTAAGTAAGTTAATATTAATATATATAAGGCACTTGGAACAGTGCCTGGATCATCATGAGTACTATGTAAATGTTACCTTTTACATTATTCATTCCCAAATCTCATTAGCATTTAATCTCCTACCCCCATGTAGCCTCACTGCCATCCCATTAAGACCTTTGTGCTAGCCTCACATCATATAGGGGAAATTGTCAGGCAAAGTTAAAAAACACTTCTGGCAACCTTAGTTTCCCTTTTTTGTTCTTTCAGCCTTCTAAAACTTTGTAAAACTCCCGTGTATAAAATCCCCTCTGTTTGAAATATCTAGTAGGATTACTGCTTTCCTGACATACCCTCACCAATAAAGCCTCAATATCAACTTATGTCTTCGCCTCTAGTTCCCTTCTATTCCAATCCATATCAAACACCACTGTCTGATTAATCATCGTAAAACAAAATTGTGTTTACATCACTCCACCACTCAAAAATTTTCTAAGACTCCACATCACTCACAGAATTAAAAAACAATTATGAAAAACACACCTTCCAGGTACATCTCCAGCTCTGCCACTGTATGTCCAAATAGAATTCCTCTGTTCCCTCACAAAAGAGTCTACATCCCTCCCTTGCTCTTCTAAGGGTTCATGCTGTCCCCTCCATCTGATCTCTCTCCCTCCCCATTTTAACCATTCAAAATTCTGCTCACTCAAGTGTCACTTCCTCTATGAAAATGTTTTCCTAATTTCCACTTCCTGAATCTCCTTAAAAGACTATCTGTCCACAAATTCTCCAATACTGCTCCCTTCAAGAGGTAAAGCTTAAACGTCCACTCTTGAATATGAGCTGGACTCAGTGACTTGCTTAATGAATAGAACAGGGTGAAAGTAATGGTGTGTAACTTTGGAACCTGGATCACAAGGCACTGTGATTTCCTCCTTGCTCATTATCTTGGGCCACCTACTCTGAGAGAATCCAGCTGCTATGTCATGAGAATAGGAAGAGGGGGGAACTGAGGCCTTCTGCCAACAGCCACGTTGCAGGAACCATCTTGGAAGCTGATCTTCCAGTCGAGTCAAGCCTTCAGATGACTGCATGCTAGCTGCAAGACAACCTGAGCCACCTAGCCAAGCCAGTCCTGAATTCCTGACCCACATATCATGTGAGATACTAAGGGTTTTGTTGTTTTAGGCCACTATATTTGGGGGTAATTTCTTACACAGTAATAGATCATTAGTACACCATTGTACTTTACTCCAGTGAATGACATCTGTCTGTACCTTTCTTCTATCCACCAACTAGATTATGACCTCATAGGAGACATGGATTGTGACTCACTTAGTTATATGTCCCCTGAAGTGACTAGAAAAGTACCTCATAAAAAGTAGGTGGTCAATGCATTTTTCCCTCAAGAATAGAATAATGTCACTTTTCAGAATGCGGGCTCTGGGATTCAACTACTTGAGTTTAGAATGCAGCTCTACCATTTGCTAACTATGTGAATGTTGGAAAGTTACTTACCTTCTCTAAGACTCAGTTTCCTCACCTGTAAAATGGGGGTAACAGAGCCATCTCCTAGTTTTGTTGTAATTCTAATTGCTGGAGTGGGGAAGACACTTCATCTCCTGCTCCTCCTGTCTCCACAGATGGGAGAGGCTTCCATTCCACTCCACTCCCCAAGAGGAAGAGATGTTGGAGTGATGCCTCTGGTCACCTTGTCACCCCTCTCACTGGCTCCTTCACACAGCAGGAGGAGCGAAGTATTTAATAGGTGAGGCTGACAGAACTTGACATTGCATGACTGACATTTACGGTCATTGTTCCGGTCACTGCTCCAGCCTCTCCTCTTTCTCACATTCAGGAATATGTGAGTAGACATTAACAGAGCACATTCTGCCTTTGTGACCTAAACCCACGCAGAAAATATAACTGGGTCAGGGCTTAGAAATTGGCTTAGAGAGAGAGAACTGGAAATCCATGTCTATCAGTCTATTTTTCTCTCCTCCTCTTCCTCCTCCTCTTCCTCCTCCTCTTCTCTCTTTCCCTTTCTCCCCTTCCCATTCCCTCCACCTTTTCCCTCTCCCTCTCTTTCTCTTCCTATTAAGGCCTCAGGCAGTCCAGGACCTTCCGTGCACCTTTCTGCTAAGTTCAACTGTCTCCATGGGTGGGTAACGACCTAAATTTGGGGAAAATCATAGAAAAGCCTACCATTTTTTATAATACAGTTTAACTATTAAGAAAGCTGATGTTATATTCTTTTTTTTTGAGACAGGGTCTCACTGTGTTGCCCAGGCTAGTGTAGTGGCGTCAGCCTAGCTCACAGCAACCTCAAACTCCTGGGCTCAAGCAATCTTGCTGCCTCAGAGCCCCCCCCCCCCCCAGTAGCTGGGACTATAGGCATGTGCGACCATGCCCAGCTAATTTTTTCTATATATATTAGTTGGCCAATTAATTTCTTTCTATTTATAGTAGAGACGGGGTCTCGCTCTTGCTTAGGCTGGTTTCAAACTCCTGACCTTGAGCAATCTGCCCACCTCGGCCTCCCAGAGTGCTAGGATTATAGGCATGAGCCACTGCGCCCGGCCTGATGTTATATTCTTTTTAAATTTTTATTGCAGAGATTTTTAAACCCATACAAAAAAATCAGACTAATATAATGGACCCCCATGTGCCTAACACCCAGCTTCTGCCATTACCAATTCATGGTCAACCTCACCAGGGTTGCATTTTAATTCTCATCTGATTCCTTGCATCTATGTTCAATTGTCTGAGAACTTGACAGAGGGGTTAGTGGTTCATTGACTCTCTCCAACTTCTAACAAGGAGGATTAAATGAGAGAATATATTGAAAGTCACCTGGAACATAATAAGCTTTCAAACAACATTAGCATTAATAATGATGATGAGCCATCAGCAGAATTGAAAGCAAGTTTGGACCAAGATAACTTAGACTGAAATAACAAGGATCATTCTTGTAAGATTGTCTGCTAGCGCGTCAAGACCTTATAATGCTCAAGGTCATAGGAACCCACTGGATGAGAAACCAAGAGGGCTTAGTTTCTGTCACATTCACCCACAGACTTTCCTTTAGACCATGTCATTTCTTTCTCCCTTCAATCACTTACCTCCAGCCTGAGCCTTTGGGATACCATGCCTATGTCGATGCTGATAAACAATATTCGATTTGACCCATCAGGTTCTGCCATGATGAAAGCACGACTGTATAGCCTCGTGAGGATGCCCCGTGCATTCTGGCCATTTTTGCTGTAGCCCATCTAAAGAGGAAGAGAGAATCAGAGCCATTCTGTCTCACTCCCCTGCTCCCAGGGACCAGGCACAAACCTGTAAGTACAGACCGCTTCGGACAACCCCATTAAAAAGTGGACAAAGGACATGAACAGAAACTTTTCAAAAGAAGATAGACCGATGGCCAACAAACATATGAAAAATGCTCAACATCTCTAATCATCAGGGAAATGCAAATCAAAACCACAGTAAGATATCACTTAACTCCAGTGAGAATGGCCTTTATCAAAAAGTCCCAAAACAAATGTTGTGGATGCAGAGAGATAGGAACATTCATACATTGCTGGTGGGACTGCAAACCAGTACAACCTGTGTGGAAAGCAATATGGAGATACCTCAAAGAGCCAAAAGTAGAACTACTATTTTATCCAGCAATCCCATTACTGGGGATCTACCCAAAGGAAAAAAACACATTCTATAACAAAGACCTCTGCATACAAATTTTTATAGCAGCACAATTCACAATTGCAAAGATGTGGAAACAACCCAAGTGTCCATCAATACATGAGTGGATTAAGAAAATGTGGTATATGTATACCATGGAGTTCTACTCAGCCACAAAAAACAATGGCAAAGTAGCACCTCTTGTATTATCCTGAATGGAGCTGGAACCTATTCTACTAAGTGTCACAAGAATGGAAAAACAAGCCCCACATATACTATCAAATTGGTACTATTGATCAGCACTAGGTGTACATATGGAAGTTACATTCATCTGGTGTCAGGCAGGTGGGAGAAGGGGATGTGTATATTCACACCTAATGTGTATAGTGTGCACTGTCTGGGGGATGGGCACACTTGTAGCCCTGACTTGGGCAGTGCAAAGGCAATATATGCAACCTAAACATTTGTATCCCTGTAATATGCTGAAATAAAATAATAACAATAATTTTCAAAAAGAATACACTTCTTCAGAAAGACAAAGAAAAGAAAATGTATATGACACTATGGCTGTGAATGAGACAATGTATGTGTTTTCAAGAATGATAAAAAAGAAGAAGAAAGCCAAAAGCATAAAAGAGGTTTTAACCTTCTGTGTAGAAAAATGCAAAGGCAAAGTCATCGATCGATCCTTGGCAGAAGCTCTTCCCTGGCCCCTGGGCAAGGGAGGAGCTGGTGCGGCTCTGGACCCCGTCGTTACTGCACCAAAGACCTTTCGGGACCTTTCTGGGTTTTTTTGGAATGAAATCGTTTCTCCTGCCTAAGGTACTGAAGAAGAAAATATTTCCCCTACCTCCACCCCATTGCCCAGGAACATTCTGAAAATCTAAGGCCTCCCCAGGTTGGTTGTTTAGTGTGTAGTTCTGTTTTCTGAAGAAAATGATGTCTTTATAATTAAGTAATGTCTACTGAGGGCACCTCGCCCTGGTTTTTCCCGTAGTGTCACTCCCTATGCCACGTCAGACCACTACACTTGTCCCAAGCCCCTTCTCTCGCTGTGTCATAAAACCCTCCCACGAAAACGACAGCCAGGTATTGACAGTGGCCTCTCTATTGCTTGCATTACTCCTCCTGGGAGTGTCCGTTCAGGATTCACAGTCCAAGGTCACTGAATAAGCAGCTGGAAATAATTCCTAGAATCTAAAGATTATTTGGCAGGATGGAGCGAATTCCATCAGTCAACTTCATGCTCTGGTTTCCTAGGGTAGTGTCGACATAAACGGATATTTCCACTGTCATAGCCAAGAAGTTGCGCTAGCAGTCAATAGGCCACACCTGACACATAGATGTGTTTTATTTGGCTTCCACATTGTTGGTCCATACTAGGTTTCCAGTTTTAACTAGAGTTGCCCTACATTTTTGAAATGAGAAATTTAAATCTTCTAATCTTCAGTCCAGAAGTTTTCTGGCTTCTCTTGAAAGAACTTCAAGACAGGGCAGTAATCAGTTAGAGACATACACTTTATTTTTACTTTTTAAATTTTTTTTACCAATATTTCCTATGGCCCCCACCCCCGCCTCCACCCCAACCCCGTGCCTTGCAAACTGCAGATTCGCTAGACATTTATCATCTTACACTGGCCTGATTCAGTCACTCATGGTACCTGCCCACCCCCTGTAGTATTTACGTTCACCGGCTCTGCCACTGCTGTCTATAAAAAATGGCCAATTGACTTTACAAGGGAATTGTGGTTGAATAAAAGTTTCTTTCTTCCTTCTAGTATGGTCATTCATAGTGTTAAACAGAAGCAAAGTCAGTGAAAAAGCTAGAAGAAAAAGATGATGATATAATCATCAGGAATGAATGCAGGATGCAAAATAATAAAAATTACTTGTTTCACAGTGTCCTTATGGAGCCCATCATTTACTTACCAAATTGATATCTGCTACTTGTCCTGTGCAGTCAGCTCGTCCAACACCAATGTGATAACCGCTGAAGTTCTGGAACAGAGGCGGCTCCGGAGTGCGTGTCACTGAGGAAGTGTGGGTGGCCGTCGAGCCCTGGGTGCCTGTGGAACCCTGGCTGGGTACGGAACCCTGGGTGGCCACGGGGCTCCGGGTGGACGTGGGACCCTGAGTGGTTGGGAAAATATGGCTTCCTGAATCTAAAACAGAGTGAGATTTTTGAGAAACAAGATTTCAGCCCACTTACTTGTCAGCGTCAATCGGAATACAGTACATACGATGGGGTTCCTAAGGAAAAATCTTTGTATATTTTCTTATATGTAAGATATACAGTGAGAAATACATTAGAAACCTGTTTGATGTCGTAATCCTAAACAGGATCTTTTTCTCAGACTAGAGATGTTTCAGACCAACAGTCAAGGCCTCATGACAAGCCGCTCCTAGTCTAACTCACATCCTACCCTTCTGCCCCAGCCAAACTAAACAGGTGTCAGGTTTCTGGCACACAACTCGCTAATCTCAACCTCGGGGCATAGGTTTCTTCAGTTCTCTCTATCCAGACTCCTCACGCCTTTCCTCTCCACCAACCAACCTCTAGCACCTGCTTCAGAATTCGTCCATTTCCATCACACCTAGATCTAGCCCAAGTGCTCATCTCCAGATGCCCCCTACTGTCTCTACCCTGCCTCTGACCCTCTTCGACCTTCTAAAGATTTTTATTTTTAATGCAACCTAGATCATTGTACACTTGATGCAATTTCCCCTTTTTTAAATTATTCTCATATCTGTATATCATATACAAGTGTGTGTAAGCACATATATTCCATATTAATATGCGGGTATATATATATATACATTTCTTTCTCTCTCTCTTTCTCTCACACATACACACACACACACACACACACACACACACACACGAATACAAAGGGAGGCAGTATGACATGGAGATTACAAAGGGAGATGCCAGAAACAAACTGTCTGAGTTTGAAATCTAACGCTACCACTTACTAACTGAACAAATTGTTTAACCTATTTCACCCCAATTTTCTCATTTATAAAATGGAGATAATAATAATATCTTGCTTCCTAGAGCTGTTTTGAACAAAGTGTTCATATATATTAAAAATTTAGAACAATGGCCGGTATATAGCTTCAATTTGCTTTACACAGTTAGACATTCTATATATTCATTTGTTTTTTTCTTTGTTTCCACTGCCCAGACAACAGCCAGGAGTAGCCAAGGCAACAAATGTCAGTGTCACAAGACATTAGTGGTCAGAAAGTACTTAGGCAAGAGATTTACAGCTGATTCCTTCTGAGCCCTAGAATTTTGGAGCTCAAAAAAACTTAGGGATCACCTGTCCTCAGTTTTACTGATGAGAAAACTGAAATTCAGAAAAGCAACAACCAAGAATTTGTGGTGAGCAGGTGATGACTCTGGTATCCAATCCAGGTCCTCAAACTCAGAATCTGATGATCTTTCAACCAAATTCTAGCTGGAGTCAGAATCCATGTCTTGTCATCCCCAACCCACGTTTTCCCACAAGGCATCAGATATTGTAAGGAGGGAAGCAGGCATCGTTGCTATCACCTCGTTGTCACCAGCCTAGAATGTCGTGCCAGTGAAAACCAAACCTGGCCACATAGCCACCGGCAAGTTATTTGCAATCTCAGAGTCTAGGTTTCCCTATATGAAAGTAAAAGGTAGGACTGGCATCTACCTTTATAGAATTTTTGTGAGAATTAGATGAAAAAATTATGTAAAAGCCTTATATAGTGCTCCACACAGAAGCCATTCAATAAGCAATAACTACTGCTATGAGAATAGTTACTATAATTATTAATAACTTCCCTGAATCTCAACCTCCTGAGTCTCTAATTTTAACAGCTAAAACTAAATAAATTCTAAGGATCCTTTCATTTCTATCAGCCCAAGCCCCTGCTCTGCCCACTGCAGGATCAGAGGATCTCTATTCCTCTGTGTTTCTCAAAGCATGGGAACATGGTAGAGAGTACACTGGAAAAGACACGAGGCCACCAAAGGGAAAGCCGAGGTGAAAAATGCCATCTTCTTCTCCATTTGGCCTGAGGCCCGTCCTCCCTTTACTTTGATCAAAACATTCAATCCCCACCTTCTTTTCCACTCTCATTTTCGAGGTATGTATCCTAACAGTGGCTGAAGCAGAGGCTCCTAAAGAGACCCATTGCCAATACTACCTGAAAACATAGCCTATGGAGTTTTCAAAAACCAAATTTGTTGCCAACATTTTTAAAAATCAGGGGATGTCTAAAAATCCCAATTTCCAGCTTCTCTAGAAACCTCTGGAGATCTGAGACCACGTGACATCATGACAACAAGCAGCTGGCACTCCGGGGGGCTGTGGACCCCCTTCACCAGAAGTGTGCCTGCCTCCTCACTCTGCCTCATTGACAGAATTTGATTGGCCATTGCAAGGATTTGAGTTGGAGACCCCTTTCTCTAAAGCTTTTCACATACTAATTGACATTCAGTGAGTTTTTTCATCTTCTTTTGCCCCCAGGAAAAGATGACGCCAACAAGGAAGCAAAAGGAAAGATGAGAGGCTCGAGGTTCACATCATTGGGCCTTGAAGAATGCTGGGCTGTGCTTAGATCACTGGAAAAGCTAATGGCAAACACGTACATGTCAGAATGCCTGTACACTGGCTATTTAGGAACAAAGGTAAACTTGATAAAAACTGCTATCATTGCAGAAAGGGCAATTAATGTAAAGGGAGACGGCCATCCCAGGCTGCCTAAGTGCACACTGAACTGTCGGCAGACACTGCTTGTCACATTGGTGTCCCCGGTAATCAAGAAATTTCCTACAGGCTTAAAAATAGCATCCAAGAGAGCCCATGACACTTACCTTTGTGGTTTTCAATGGTCCCACTGGTGATAAACAAGAGGCTGAGAAGAGCCACTGTGATGGCAGTCATCATTATAAGAAGGAAAATCAGGAACATTTCCAAGGTAGAGAAGGTGCGTTTGGCCATTTCTCCTGTGGTAAAACAGAGATGGAAGAAGGAGGAAGAAAAAGACCGAACTGCAAATTAAAATGCATAGGCTTCAAGCTGCCCAAGGCTAAGATGTCTTAGCTCATTCATGTCAATAGACTATACAAAGGATGGCAAGTACAGAGCACACTTACCACTTGTTCCACATGCCAAGCCCATGGCAGACGAGACCAATCAATTACAGAACCCTTTCTGAAAAGCTTGGATATGGATTCCAAATCCTTCTCAACACAACACTCCTCCTGGCAGCCACCACTCATGATTTGGCATTGGCAGCCGAGCTAAAATCTATTTGCATTCCTGAACCATATCATACTCCTTTCATTTATAGTGATGGTGCTTTTTATGGGTCTGTATGTGAGTGTGGGCTGGGAGAGCTTCTGTCAACAAGGATGACTGTTACACCCATATTGCTTGTTCTTGGTAGAAGGCTGGCTGGGTTTAGGGCTGCATGCTGGTGGTCACGGAATAAGTAGAATTATCTCATCCACATGGAGGTAAAACTCATAACTTTGGCCTTTAAACTCTATGTTCTAACTTTCGATTACTACCCGGTAAGAAAAAGGCATGGAAAAGGAGGATTGGCATCTCTGATCTCAAGCAAAGCATTAGTAAAATTTTCCTCTTTGGTGATCAGAAGGATCCCACACATTTTGCAAACCCTGTATCCAAGAATGAGGATGAAGAATGTCCTTGTGCACCACAAAAGCATAAAATGTCCATACAGATTCTTGAAGATGTTTTAGGAGGAAAATTCATCATCACTCAAAACGACTATACAAACTAAAAACCCATATAATGTTAATGAAAAGAAGTATAATAGGGTGGCTAAAAATTGGGTTCTAAAGTCTGACTCCAGAGTTCCAATCTCATTTCTGCCACTTATTGGGTGACCTTGGCAAATCCTCCCCTAATACTTAGCCTCAGTTTCTTCATACATAGATAGGAATGCAATGATGATAATTTTAGTACCTGGCTCATACAGTCCCTATAAAAATAAGATGAGACAATGCAACAATACTTCTTTTGTTCCATGGGATGTCATAAGTACTCAGAATGTTAGCATTTATTATTATATTTCAAAATAGCAAAGAGTCTGGGCTCCTTACTGTCCTTAAAGAGAATTTATAGGAGGCTAGTGATAAGGGATGGTAAGAATCACAAATGGGACGTTTACAGTCCATTTTCTTAACCTGTGCTTTAGAAAGCCTGAGCAGTAAGATGAAAATTCCAGGATTTGCCCTAAAAAGTGGGTAATTTGTGGCTAAGATTTTAGTATAACTATTCCCAATAGTTATAAAATGACAATAAGTAGATGTATTTAGTATGACCCAGATGATTTTTTTCTTTCAGTTTGATTTAGGTGGCAAGATAAAAGATAGCATATATAGTTTATCTGTAAAGATAGAGTTTACATTTACAAATCTGAAATTTCAAATTTTCTTTTAAAATTTTTCATAAAATATGGCAACATTGAGCCAGCATTCACATGTGCCAAGAGTTTCCTAAAACCCAGTAGCTGCTGTTCTCATTAGATGGGGACATTCATTCTCCAATCTGCCAGTCTCTACCCCGCAGGCCTTATCCATCTAAGTTATTGCCTGTTTTGTGCAGGCATTTGATTTTGCAATCCCCAGACTAGAGGTCAAAGATCAGTCTAACAGCAGACACTTCAGAGTTAAGGCTGAAGTGGGAGTGGACAAAGTGACTAAAACATCTTCCCAGATTTCCTGGTTATTGAGAAGCTTTCCTCATCCATTTCACCACCCTAAACCCTTCACCACCACCAGCTGGGTCAACTTCAAATCTAGGACAAAACAAATTAGGTCTACGCCTTAGTCTCCAGGAGTGAGGAAACACCTCTAAGATACGCCTCAGAACTCCAGTAATCTACAAATGTTTATTAGTTATTATTAGCTGCTGTTTCACTAGCAAACCTCAAACCCAGGTTTGCTCAAAGTTTGGGTTTCTCTGAGCCTTCCTGCTAGGCAAGATGACCAACAGCTGGACCTCCCAACCTCGGGGCATTGACCCCCAGATTGTGTATGTAAAAGTAGTCACGTGGTAAGAAACTGCATATCAAACAAAGAGGCTACAAAATAACACTCTTGTTTGTTTTTACTTTTGCTCCATTGAACTGATCACCACCGCCAACCCCTTACGCAAGTCAACAATGGCAGCTGATTTCACCTTTGTTTCCACCTCTTACTTGGACTTGAATGATCTACTGCATGTGTTTTACCACTCTGGTTAACTGCCAGAATTACTGCCAACACATTACCATTCTTTTTGAACCACTTTAGCTGACTCTGCCATCACCTTTAGGGAAATTAAAATTTGGATTAGCACTATTTATTTCTCATTGATGATTAAAATCTGAATTCAAATATTAAAGCAGATGCCTTGTCTACCTTCGGATGCAAATGCACCTTGGAGAGCTTAGCCAACGATTATACCTTAAAGGATTATAGATTTCATAATGGTTCCTATTCAATCTGTCATAATCCTGCAAGCTCAATAATGAGGTTCTCATGACACAACAGCAAGCCATTTGCCACATCTGCACCACACCAAGGTCCCTGCTTTTCAAGAAGGTGACAGTAAAAAGTATTTTTTTTTTATTTTGAAAAAGAAATTTTTTTTGAGACAGGGTCTCACTCTGTTGCCTGGGCTAGAGTGCCGTGGCATCAGCCTAGCTCACAGCAACCTCAAACTCCTGGGCTCAAGCAACCCTACTGCCTCAGCCTCCTGAGTAGCTGGGACTACAGGTATGCGCCACAATGCCTGGCTAATTTTTGCTATATGTTTTTAGTTGTCCAGCTAATTTCTTTCTAATTTTTTAGTAGAGACAGGGTCTCACTCTTGCTCAGAGTGGTCTCTAACTCCTGAGCTCAAACGATCCGCCCACCTGGGCCTCCCAGAGTGCTAGGATTACAGACGTGAGCTACCGTGCCCAACCTGTAAAAAGTATTAATAACAATTTGGCAAAGGGGGTTTCCAAAGCTATGAAAATGAGGGGAAGCTTTAGGGTTCTGTCAAGATCTCTGAGACATAGGATTATTCAAGATCCCTCCCCGCCTCCCTCCCCAAGAAAAAACAGTCATTCTTACCTGATTCTCCTATTCAAAAAAGCTTTCACATCTCAGGAAAGGAAATGGCCATCCAGAATCTTGTTCTCTTTCCCCTTGCACGTTCCTGGACTCAGACTTCCTAGTACTTTCTGGAACCTACTGAAAAATGATTTTTACAGTCAAGTCCAGGAGAGTTAAAATTCTCATTAGCATACGTCTGTGAGCTTAGTACAAGGATAAGATTAAAGTATATTGATAACAAAAGGCTTATACACAAACTCTCTCCCAGGACAGCCTGTTATTGAAGATAGAAGTTGCAGAAGGTCTCCTGGACTGAAGGTCATCTCAGCCTTGATATAACTCTTCCAGCATGACAAGTTCTGTGCGAGGCCTATAACCTGGATCTCAAAAAAATTGCACCTGTTTCATTTACCAGTGGTCATTCTACCTGCAATAAAAGGGACATTAGTGTGGGCTATGGATACCACTGGGCAATATTTACAATTCCAGTACAGAAAAGTGATGTTAATTTTTAGGAACTCATATATAAAAATTGTAGATTAGCTAAGAATGTGAATAATAAATCATACAGCAGGGCAAAAATGCTATGCAACCGTTAAAAATTACACTGAAAAAAATGTAATGACATGAAAAAAATTACCAAATATTACAAAACAATATGATCTCATTTTTGTAAAGTGTACATCATTTATACATGTATGGTCATAAAGACTGAAGAAGCAAAATGTTAAGAAGTTGGGTATTTGGTGATGATGGGTGGTTTTTGTTTCTATATTTTTGCTTGGTATTTTCTAAAATAGCCATGCTATATTACTTTTGCAATGGGGAAAATAAAATATTTTTCCTTCTCTTGAAGAATGTATACTATAAAACAACATGAAGTTTAACAAAGGACCTCAAGAGACAAAGTAAATCTTAGAAAATCCAAGCTGACCAGCATGCATTTTGCAGAAAGCCACATAGGCTGCTTAATTCCTTACAGAGTTTGAAGAGAGGCCCACAAAGTTCCAACTGAAATGTTAGAGGTATATGTGCCTTCAGACAGGGCATTTAGTAATGTATCTTGGATTCCTCTCTGCTGCTACAGAAGGGAACAGGTTAAATCATGGTATTGAACAAGGTTTTTTTAGAGTGCATTTGTGTTAGAATCCTTGGTTACAAGCAATGCAGACCAAATCCGGCTAACTTAAGGCAAGGGGAAAACAGAGAGAGGAAAAGTAAATTCACCAGATGGCAGAAAGTAAAGCTGCAGATGCAGGCTCATGAAGGGCAGGAGACAGGACAGCCTGGTGGATGTAGGCAGCAGGAGCTATGGGACTGTATCTTCAGGGCATCACCACTGGGAAGGACGCCCTCCCCTGCTGAAAGCTTTTGTTCTACTGCACTCAGGAGCCAGGTCCTGACAGCAGGATCTGACTGCCTTGGCTTGGGTCATATACTTATCCTGTACTTTGAGGGGTGCCTAAATGCAAATCTTAATAAGACTATCCCCAAAGAAGGAAAGGTAGTTCCCCCAAAAGAAAGTCAAGGTGGTATAGATGTTGGACAGTAAAAGCAGCAGATGCTCAGTGGTGAGCTGCCATTGGATTTCACCCTCCCTTCTGCCTTGTAGTGGGAGACCTTTAGACAGCCCCCATGGTCTCCTCCAGTCCTCTTCAGGCATCTTTCTCCTCATGAAAAGGAGCCATGCCATGGCCCATTCACAGAATCCTGCTCAGTGGCCAGTAATTGAGTCAGATGAGATCATTTTAGCTAGGGTTTTAGTAGATGATAATGGCCTAACATATCACCTTTCCTAGACATCATTTGAAAGATCATACCCGCACAGTAAGGGGCTGAGAATTGAGGCTAAGAATCCAAGCACTACAGCAGAGCCAGTGGAGAAAAGCTGGCTCCTATAGCCAGGAAGAAGACTAGATCTGGATGAGATGAAGATACAATCATTGCAAATATTTTAACTTGTGCATATATTTTATTTCTGTCTGAATGACCCCCCACATAAATCCTATTAGCTAGGTAGTCTAACTGTTCTTCTCTACACTCTACCCCGACAAAGTCACTCATGGACACATACTCCACCCATTTTTACAGATGAGGAAACAGAGACAAATTTCCAGAACAGGAAAGAGTAGTTGAAAGTGAGTGTGATCCTGCAGTGGTTATTTTAGGATACAAAGCCCAAGTCTCCAGACTCCTAGAGAAGACCTTTTTCCCCTCACCAAACTCCTACTGTCACATTCTTCCATTTTTTAACTCTTAGAGTAATCAAAGATGAAATTGTTTCTAGAAAACATATACTATTTTATGTACAGCCAGATTGTCATCTCTAAACACCATTTCTTGACAAAAAGAACAGAAATGCTTGAGGAAAATGCTGGTTTTGTGTCTAAGGCAGGAAACACATGAACTAAACTTGGGATATTTTTATCATACCAGAAATTTTTAAAAGTTATCAAAATTATCAAAACTATATTAAAAGAACTAAAGAGGTTCTAACTAACCGAAGATCAGTTCATTAGAACATCAGTTCATGATGTCATTTGGTACTTGTTAAAAAATGGTAGGGAATTAATTTTTATTCTGAAAATTGGTTAAAAAATGGGGGGTGAGTGGGGTATAGTAGAAATCAAGGGTGTACTCTGCTTTTCCTGTATACATAAACCTAGAGAAAGCCAAATAGTTAATGAGGGCCAGTTCCTCTAGATGGAAGTATTCCAGCTAATAAATGAGGAGGCAATGACAAACTTGAGTCTCTATATTTTTGCAAGACCCAAAGAAATGATGGATCTGGGCAAAGATTACCAACAGCTGATTATGTTACCAAAAGAGGGACAACCAGATACAGCAAGCCTCTGAACGATGTATGCAGCATTCTCAAGTATTCTTACCAAAAAGTGAAACCTTAACCGGATCTACCTCTAGATCTCAGTGCCTGTTTGTAGGAATACGAGCGACAACCGCAGACATATGTCAGAGTGCAACATGGGGGTACAGTAAGCCAAATCCAGACTGTGAGAAAGTGTATGATGAATAAGCTAGTTTCTTTAAAAGATGAATTGGAAATGAAGAAGAGAAAGAAGGAGAAGCAAGAGTAGGAAAATGAGAGAGGCAAACAAGAACAAGAATGGGGGGAGGGGAAGAAGGGCAGAGGGCAAAGGAGAGCCTGGCCAGGGGAGAGGGGTGGGAAGAGGACAGGGAATAAGAGAGACAAAGGCTCTGCATTGAATGAGGCTTGAGAGACACATCAATCAACTGTATAATGAAGGCTCAAAACCAACATTGGAACCTGATCCAAACAAACTTTTCTTTTTATGAGACCATTGGGGAAATGTGAACACTGCCTAGATATTTATCCATGTTAAGGGATTTTTGTTTAAAATATTGGTGTGTAAGAATGGTACTATGATTCTGCTTTTAAAAGAAAGTCCTATTTTTGTAGAGATGCATTCTGAAACACAGAATTAAAAAAAGATACTACAAAAAGTGCAAAAATAGGATGGATGGATAGATAGTTAGGACAGATGAAAGGATAGATGGATGGACGTAAGATTTGTTCTTGAATATGCCGGCTAGTGAGAGAGAGGTAGGTTAAAAGCCACAGTAGCAGATACCGTGAAGTGCTTCACTCAACACTCATTCCAAATCTTTCTAGCACGCAGAAACCGGTCCCCCATTTGCCTGGCATTCCAGGTGGAGTTTAGGTTCTGCCTTTCAGATGTACTGCATGAGACTTTGATTCAGAACTCAGCCAGCTGGGGAGAGATGCAGGGCATGGGACCCCCATGTTGCTGGCTTGGATCACGGCAGCACAGCTCTGAGCTGGCAGCCGGGTGGCTGCTTCCTAATCCCATGACTGTGGTGAGGCAGCCTCCCTCTAAGCGGCTCAGTTCTGCCATCTAAGTTGGGGCGCTGCTCCTAAGAGCTCTGCCTCAACTCTCTGTCTTCAGCCTTCACAACGATTCTGTGAGTTATATATATATATCCCTTAATAAATGCTTTTCTTTTTAAGCAGAGTAGATTCTGTTAGCTCTAACTAAGAACTTGGCCCAGCTAAATCTCACAAAAGTGAGATTTATGGAGGATCTACACATTCCAATCAACTGGACCCTGTGTGTGCCAAGCTGCCTCTGGGAACATTTCTAAAGTTAAAAGTGATGAGAAGTTTGACACAATGAATTTTTTTATTGGCTCCAAAAAGAAATTCGTTTTAAGTACACAGGGCTGCTATGGTGGTACCTTGACATCTCATGGTACTGTGCAGGACTGAAAAATCCCTCTGAACCTCAAATCAGTCTCATCTTCTGTTAACTACAGACTCACATTTTCAAGGGTTTCAGTTCAACCTTGAACTCAACTGGCAAGCAGTAGAAGGGAGGCCTCTTTTGTTCCAAGTGGGAATGGGTGTTTCTTATTTGGATGCCTTATGCATCCATATGTTCCACCTGAGACTGCAACTAGGGATGTGCCCCAGTACACTGGGGAAACCAGGTTGATTCCCTGAGGGAGGTCCCGGGGCTCTAACCACAGTGGCAGGGCAAGGAAGAAAGTGGAGCAGGCCGGGAGGGCACACCATGGCTCTCCTTCCCCCAGGGGATTTGCAAAGCCCATGTTCCCAGCAAAAGTAGATGATGACAATCCTTCTGCTTTTCTCAGAGAACAGGGCAAATAAACTACTCCAGGGTTGCCGAGTTTCTCTCCTCAAATTTACCCCAGTCCTGCTTTCAGTACAAAGAAAAAAGATAAAGGGAGGCATCAAGGGTACAAGAAGAACTGGCATTTAAATCCAAAGTCTAGATTTACATATTTGTTTATTTGTTTGTCTTCAATATCCTTAATCCTTCTGAGCTTCATTTTCCTTATTAGAAAAAGAGAGACAAATAAGAACCTACCTTATTAAAAGACCACATGATGGTATGTTTTTAAAATTATCCTGCTAACTCTATAATAGGATGCAAATCAGTTTTTATATTAATCATGGATTAAAATATTATGGGTGCCCAAGAATGGTAGGTTCTGTGCGTTTTAAACTCTATAGCACAGTTATCTTTTCTTGGTGTATTCTTTATGCTTGGTTCTAAAGATCTCCCTATTTGAGTTGGATAAACTCAACCTTAAGGGAGGAGGAGTGTCTTTTGCTA